TACGGCGGGGGGGGGGGGGGGGGCAGAGAGAGATGCCATGTAACAGGGTTTGGATGTGGGAAACCCCCATTTATTTATTTCCAGGATAGGGGTTTCTCTTTGTAGCTTTGGAGCCTATCCGGGCACTCGCTCTGGAGACCAGACTGGCCTTGAACTCACAGAGATCCTCCTGTCTCTGCCTCCCAAGTGCAGGGATTAAAGGCCTGCGCCACCACCGCCCGGGCAGGGCCCTTTTAAAAGAGAACTTAGTGAATATACACCTGTAGTTTTCTTAGTGGCGGCAGCTGGGGGTGTATCCTGTCAGGATCCCACGGGCAGGCCAGTACAGATGCGTGAATAAGTGTGTCTTGCCCGGCCCCTCACCCCCCCCCCCATAATTTAAACTTGGCTGTTCTCTGAGATGGATAGACTTTTGTAGAGTCCCTTACAGAACAAGAAGGAATAGGGCTAGGATTAACCAAACTCAGGACTGTGGGAGACAACCAAGCCTGGGTTAGAAACTGCCAGGAAGAGTGTGTCTTGTGTGGTTCACTCCTGAAAAAAGAGCCCAGTATCGTTCGTGGGCTTCTGGGCGTCTGCCTAGTGATCTTCAGACAGGAGCCTGGGTCCAGAGGCCAAGAGAGCAGCTTGTGTGTGTGTGCACTCGAGAAAGTGTGGAAAGACAGATCCCCTGAGGAGGAGCTGTGGTTTACGTGACAGGTTGGGATGGCAGTTCAGAGGGAAAGACCTTGGCCCTATTCTCTGTAGTTTGGCCTAGTCGGTATAAGACAGGAAGGGCATGTTGTACTGGAGCACTTGGTGTCGTGCCCTGACTGGAGCTGAAGGTGACTTGTGGGTAACAGTCTCTCTTCCCTAGATGATCACAGCTTGCCCAGCCAGGGAAAGTGCAGGGGAGCTAGAGCACACTGTGTTCTTCAGGCTAGCGGCAGCTGTTGGAGCTCCCCCCGTGGGTGGGGCCCCTTCCCAAGCCACTCTTCCTGGTGTCCCTTGATTGAGGAAAGAGACAGATTCCAGGAAGAATGCCAAATGTGAGGCTCTGGTTCTCCCTACTCTACCGTCAGCCTGCCTTAGAAAGAAGCCAGTGGGCAGATGGCGCCCACTCAAGCCTTTTCCCAAGGATGACGTTGGGTCAGGTGCCTCTTCTTACTCACTGTTCATCCTTTCTTAGGAGAGTTACGATGACCCCCACAAAACCCCTGCCTCCCCAGTTGTCCACATCAGGGGCCTGATTGACGGTGTGGTAGAAGCTGACCTTGTGGAAGCCCTGCAAGAATTTGGACCCATCAGGTATGTCTACTGAAGCCAGAGGTTAGGTCTCCTCAGCATTCTCATGTGTCCCTGGTATCTGGTCTGAGCAGTGTTCTACATTCTGGTCCTGGGTCTGGCTGGATCCTGTGGCTCCTCACAGAACTCACTCTTCAGGGTTTGAAGTTCAGTTCTTTATTCTCTCCATCCCCACCCCACACGTGTGGTCTCTCTAGTCAGAGCTGTTTATTCACCTAGTGCTGTGGATAAAACTACCTAGGTTCCTTCTCCCACAAAGTTGCCTAGACAGTGATTGATTAGCACTGTCTCCTGAAACAGGAGAGGGATCAGGAGAATGACTGTGGCTGGGGTTCTTGGAGTCAGTTCACAGAGATGCTGACTTGTTCCCATCCCCCAAGAAGACTGAAGTCTGCCTTTCCTCTGCAGCTATGTGGTGGTGATGCCAAAGAAGAGGCAGGCGCTGGTAGAGTTTGAAGATGTGCTGGGGGCTTGTAATGCAGTGAACTACGCAGCAGACAACCAGATCTACATTGCTGGTCACCCTGCTTTTGTCAATTACTCTACAAGCCAGAAGATCTCCCGCCCTGGGGATTCGGATGACTCCCGGAGCGTCAACAGTGTGCTTCTGTTTACCATCCTGAACCCTATCTACTCCATAACCACGGTGCGTGCTGAAGGCACTCCTGTAGGCTGCCCGTGGGTGCTCCTTTCCCCTCCTGTCTCAGTTCCGCCCCCAAGCCGGCATGACATGCCAAGGCAACCTAATCTTGCCTGTTGTTGCTTTTATAGGATGTTCTTTACACTATCTGTAATCCTTGTGGCCCTGTCCAGAGAATTGTCATTTTTCGGAAGAATGGAGTCCAGGCTATGGTGGAATATCCTTTTCTGGGAAACTGGTGTTCTTTGGTCTGGGAGATCTCTCAGGGCTTGATAGAGAATTCATGCCATATAACACAGCAAATGCCTTTGCATAGACAATTACGTGGAAGACTGAACAGGGAGCCATATACTACAAGTCTTGGAACAGTCCATGAGGTTTGTGTAGCAGCAGGTGATAAGGGGGCAGTGTCATCCACGTGGTGTGGCCCCCCCTGGAGTAGTGAGCGTGGGGCTTCATGCATCTGCATACATGAGAGCACTCACTCATGTCCACAGTCCTTGTGTGAGGTGACTGGTTGGTATTGTGTGTAGAGGGGGCTTAGATAAGGAGAAATCTGAAGACTGAAGAACTGCAGGATGACTTCAAAGGGGAGGAAGAGAGGGTTTTGATAAAAGATGGCTTGTTAGAGCCTTCTTGGCTAGGGTGCAGTGAGAAGCCACCTTTAAAAACAGGCAGAGTGTATGTAGATTTCAGAGACCAGATGGGGCAGCTGTCAGACCATGGCTCCGGTGACTGGGATAAGAGTACAGATCACAGAGAACCCTGCTTCCTGGGGGCAGTCCCTGGTGCGTTACAAAGGCTTTTGCTTTTGCCTGAGGTTATAGGTGGTGCTCATAATCTTTGGGTGCGGTCTGGTCCTTGTTTATTTATTTATTTGTTTATTTGGCAATGTAACACCTTTTCCAAAGCTCCACGGTGTTGGCTTCCTTAAGTTCTCTCACATTTGATTCCGTGCAAAGTGCCCAGCGGGCCAAGGCCTCACTTAATGGGGCGGATATCTATTCTGGCTGTTGCACTCTGAAGATCGAGTATGCGAAGGTGAGCCTGGCAAGTGACTGCCTGATGTTAGGGGCCTGGTGAGATAAGGTATGGCCAGTCTTAAACTTTGTCTTGTCCTTGCAGCCTACCCGTTTAAATGTGTTCAAGAATGATCAAGATACTTGGGACTACACAAACCCCAACCTCAGTGGACAAGGTAATCCTGATGGCTCCTTTGTTCTAAACATACTGCCTTGCCTCTTCACTGGACTAGTGCACTTCATAGACCTGGGCTCAGGGTTATGTAATGCCATTGGGCTCCCTGTGGACATGGGAGGGCCTTGGGTCAGTTCTGTCCCCTGAATCTGCTGAAGGGGCAGAGTTGAAGCTGAGGCTTGGGCGGGGTGGGAGCAGGGTATCACTGAGGAGGAGGCATGGCAAGTGGACAGAAATCGGGAGTAGCTCTGTAGGATTTTGTTGCCTTCTTCATTCTAGAACCTGGTTAGGGTTGCTTGAGTCGTCATTCCCTGGAGGGTGAGCAGTGGTTCTCTCTCTCTCTCTCTACTGTATGAGGGGTCTGATGGTAGGGGTGTGGAGGAGGGGGTTTGAAGTAGAGCCTCCAAGCCTTGTAGAGGTCAGACACTTGGATGAGACCAGGATAGACATTACTGAACTAATTTGTAGAGGGGACTCAGCTTCTCTTCAGGGGTCCATAGAGACAACCCCCTTTCTAGAATTGTCAAAAATGGTTTGCTTTGGGTAAGTGGGAGAGGTGAAGGATTATCTTTGAAAAACATCGTCGCCCCCTCTGAAAATCAGCAAGATGGACCACCTCTTGGTCTGATAACGTCGGACTAGGCCTTGGGCTGTGGGAGGAGGCTGGTGGCTGACATTGCAGAGGCTCTGGGAGGCCACAGACTCACCCCCTACACTTGTAGGTGGGCCTGTCTTGCTTGCTTTGCAGCTGAGAACCAGTGGGCAGGGTGGGCTAGACTCTCCCAAGGACCCTCAGAATTGGCCCTCTGGGCCTGGCTGCTCCCTCCAAAAGGCAAAGGCAAATTATGACCAAGTGAATGTCCCCGAGCGGGCAATGGCATTACATGACTGCTGACAGAAACATGGCAACCAACCACTTCTTCTCCAAGGAACACAAATAGAAGATGTGCAGACCGGCAGGGGCTAGTAGCAGGGGCTGGCTGTACATTGCTTTTGATGCCTCTCAGCTTTGGCTGCCCCAAGCCTGGGGCCCAAAAAAAACAAACAAAAAAAAACAAACAAAAAAAAAAAAACAAGGGCTGATGAGGTAACCTGGAGTGAGGTCGGAGCTTCACCACCCCCTCAGGAACCACACTTCAGCGGCTCTGCCTCTGCACATTGCGCACCAACACACAGGGCACAAAACCACTAGTTCTTCCTGGAGAACAGAACATGCAGCCTCCACCACGTCCCCAGAAACAGCCGCAGATTGAGCTCACTACATCAAGAACACCACACCGCGCTCCAAGGAACAGCTACAAGCACAGAGACAGAGGCAGACAGAGACAAAGAAAGAGACGCAACATGGCAGCAGACACTGCTTTTTTATTAAACATTAAAAGTCAAAATCCAAGCAAACTTGAACCCAAGAATGTACACAGAAGTAGGAAACACAGAGCAGAGCTCACCCAGCCAGCCAGCGGTGCTCTTTTCGGAGAACGATTCGATTCATTCCATGGGCCTCCAAGACAAAATAGGATCCTCTCTCCATTCCTCGCCATGTGGGTTTTGTTTTTAAGTCCTTTGGTTTGGGGAGGGCCTTGTTTTCCTTTGTGTTTTGATTTTTTTTTTCCTGCAGTCACCGGCTGCCAGCACAGTCTGCACCAACTGGAGATCTGAAATAAAAAAATTTAACCACAACAACAAAAAAAAAAAAAATTTAACCACAACAACAAAAAAAAAAAAAATCAAAAAACAGACCTAAAATCAAAACAGCTCAGAGGCACACAGTTACCTGCTGGTGGGTAACCAGGCGTGCTACCAAGGCCAAAGTCCAAGCATAGTGGGGCCACTGGCACACTTCATACCAGGAGACACGCACACGGAGCGCTACACAGCCAGAAGCCCCGCACTGCAGCACACAGTGTGAGGAGAGGACAACACGGAGGGACACTACCCACTCCACACACCTTCACTTCCATTTTCTGGTATCTTCTGAGGACAGAACATCTGTGAGCCAATTTTGATTTAACCAAAACATTGACTTTTAAAACGATTCTTTAAAGAAAAATGTAGCGGATGTGTACCGTGACTTGTATTTATGACTGTAAAACCATGTGATGCAGGGTCGCAGTGTATGTTTGATGGGACGCCATCTTTCAGAACTGTGCTAACTCACTGTTGAAGCGTCCAATGGTAAGAGAAAAATACAGATTTGTTTTTTTGTGACAAATGGACATTGTACTCTGTACTTCTGCTGTAAGTAGCCCTTTTCCATCTTTGAAATGACTGTTAAAAAAAAGCAAACCCAGCCAGGGTGGCAGGAAAGGGCAGTGGTTTCAAGTTCTGGGTCTTGGTGCCACCCAGACCTGGGCTGAGGTTCTAGCTCAGCTCCCGATTTGCAAGTGTCTTAACTGCTCAGTGAAAAAGTAACTGCTCTGATGTCTTACCTGTAAGATGGGGCTAGGAAATGAGTGCCTACCTCATAGGGTTGTTGTGAGGAATTGGAGAAGCTGTGATGTCTGTAAAGTGCTTACCAGTGTCTGTCACTTAAGCGCTGAGCTAATGGTTAACAACTACAGCTGGGGCGGGAGGGGCTCTGCGCCTTTGTTGGGTCTGAGAATGTCGATGCCTTGTACCTAACTGCTCTTTCAAACTGATTGTGCTGTTGCCCTGCCTGACAGCTGAGACAGTCCCTCTGGGACTGGGTGGGATGTGGAGGGGGGTGGCTGGTTAATAATGGGGCCTGGAGTGAGGTCCTGTGCTCCCAGAATCTAGAGGCTTCTGGGCTGTTTGACTTCATTCTATCTATCTTGGGTTCCTTATTTGTTGCCCTTAATTTTTCTCCCTTCATTGGGAATTACTTTATAAAACACTCTTCCCTCCGTATTACACCACACTATAGTTCCCTGGGACCTGGGCCTGCCCCTGCCTGTTCTGTACTAACC